GACATTGCGTTGCACAACTTTTCACTAATTCAGCCTTCTACCTTTGCTTGAACTTCCGTCTTGTTCCGATGATTATATCGATAGGATACTTGTTCGGTATTTACATAAAAAAAACCACGGCACGATTATGAGGAACGCTATTATGGTGGGTTCTGAAAATTCTGACCTAATGGTGTTTCTTAATGTGCTCCTAAATGTAAGAGTAGATTCCTGAAGTATTTCGCATCAAAGATCTGCAGGGACCTTTTGGCCGAAGTTTACTTCAAACAGGCAACCCAAGCACACTGCAAACACCCGCGAAAACTTAATCGAAAAATTGGCCCCGTACCTGCATGTAATCTGCAAATGTCGTCGAAAGGCGATAGTCTTGCGTGTGGAGAGGGTCAACAAAACGTTTATTTGATGTTCTGCGCAAGAAAATTGGTGAGTGGTATTCCGGAGGCGCTGCGTTAGAGTGTCTCAAGCGTGCAGCGGAGGCGAACCAGCACACCAAGTGACGTCACGCGTGAGACATGAGCGCCATCTGGCAGTTTTTTTTTTGAGGGGGGGGGGGGACAAAGCGCGTGGCTGTGCGCGCCCGTCTCAGAAGTGATAAGGTGTAGAACGCGAGGCGACGGGTAGGTGCCACCACCATCTCGTCTTAGCAAAGCGTTGGAAACACTCCCGGTTCCGTGCAAGCGTCGTAAGCGCAGTGTGATAAGCGCTACGGTCCTTAAAATTACTTATGTATGCGTTTTCTATAGTAAGAGATGCATATGCATAATATATGCGTGTTGTTATGGTGCCCCAGACATGCGCACTAATTGTTTTTCAATTGACAGTTGCACAAGTATGAACGCTCAACTTAGAGCAACATTGGTGGTCGCTGCGGATGGGATCGGCCATTTCAGAGATTGGTTTTTTATGTTCTGCTTATTTCTATTTTTTGGTATTTCCTCAAAGAGTACGATCCTATCAACATTTCTTAAAATTTTATGTATGCGATATTTCTTATTGGTGCCACTTTAAACTATGTATTTGTGTCTGTTTTGTTGTTTCCAGGACATCATGAATGCTGTCACTTTTTCTGCCTTGTATTGATGGGATGTGGGGCTAGTAAAGCTGCGTTTTTATCGCAGCTTTTTTCCTGCATTCCACACCACACATTGTATGGTGTAACACTGTGGTGAACTATACTTCAAACTTCAAATACTCGATGTCGGTAAGAGTGGACAGACAGACAGACAGACCAAAATTTTTTAGTCGAAGGTCCCCAAGAAAGACTATCGTCTTTAATAACAGTACACCTCTTGCCGGCACGCAGCTGTTGCCGGTAGACACCGAATGCGGCCACCACGGCCGGGATTTCGTTTCGGATTGTTATGGAAGACAGACTTCATTTCAAGCGAGACCTGAATGAAGCATACAAATATATTCTTTCCTGTATGCGCAGCCAGTATAAAGGAAACCAGGGGCATCCGCAGCGTGGCCATCTATACAGGGTGCTGCCGGCGGAATCTGCTACGTGCGGCCGTCGCATGACGCGGCTACTGGGCGCGTATCAAGAGAGCAGATACGGCCGAGGCGACATTGGCGCTGTCGAGGGCGGCACATCCGGGAAATCAGAAAAGGAAACGAAACGAGTGCGAAGCTCCAGTTCCACGGCATACAGGCCATAACTAAGGCCAAGATAAAAAAAAATGAGACCAGCTTTAGATCAAGTGCCTCTTTTTAGGTCAACTCCCTGCAGTGCCATATATCGCAACGGACACGTCGGGAAGAGACTTGATGATTTGTAAAAAGAAATTGCTCTTAAATATTATTTGCTGCTGATACCGGCTGCTTGCCGTGAGTGTCACACATTATCAATACTTGCAGATTACCTACAGAAGTTATCTACTGCTTAAAAAATTTGTGTTGAGTAGGCAAATATCATCAATTATCAAATGGAGATGCGAGGTCATGAAATGCAAGAGCAATATCTCTGTGCAACAAACAATTAGCGATGTCCTCTGACTTGGGAGTGTCAATTTTTTTGTGTGTGTCTATAACAATATTTTAAAAACGAGAGGCAAATGCGGCTGACATTTTTATTTATTCGTTGCCAACTGAATCCGAAAGCTTCAAGTAGGTCACTGTAGAAGTTAACACGCACGTGATAACGATCGCAATGAATTCTCCACTACTGTTAAAAGCACCAAGCCTTGAAGCACTTCAGTGATCTGCAGGGATCTTTCAGCCAAAGTTGACTTGAAACAGGCAACCAGAGCCCATTGGAAAAAACACGCGAAAACTTAACCAAATCACAGTGGACCCATTGATCACACCCAGTCGTTGCCGGCAGACACCAACCACGTACAGCATTGAAGTAGCATGACACCTACGCCATAAGTCATTATACATGGATTCACTCTGCATCCGTGCATCAGTATTAACCACTTCCGTGCCTCCATGAAACCGGTTATACGACCGTCGACGGAAAGCGAGAGTACTAGGACGGCACGAACTCAGCCGTTTCGATTTGCCGTGTAGGAGCATTTGACAACCTGAGGCACTCCTTTCAGCCAGCCAGCGCTAGTGAAAGCGCTTTATCATGCAGGCATAGGCAGTTCGGCACGGCATCTGTGAATGTGCAAAACAGCGCAAAAGAAGACGCAGCCCAAGCGAAGGTACAGCGCTTGTCCTGCGAGTTCCTTCGCTTGTGCTACACCGCTTTTTGTGTTCTTTTTTTTTCTTATTGGACACTTTTAGTTGGTCGTACGTAACGAGCCCACGTACGCAGCACTTCCACGGGAGAAAACTTCGCATGTGTTGTACGTAAGGCATCGATTCCAGAGATTCGCGCATACGCCAAAAAAAAAAAAAAAACACAGCGTGCGTAAACGTGACGAGGCGAAGCGTACGCGGCGTGAAGCTCTCGCGATATCTCGATTGATATAGGAACCAGATAGCAGAACGGCAGCGATGGCGTCAAACACAGAGCAACAAAACCGGCCCTAACCGAGTATATTTTACTTCGAAGGACGATGTTGCGCTGCTACCACACGAGGGCGCTAAAAAAGCACCCAAAAGCTGTTTTATTTCTAAGAACATACGTCTAGTTGAACCAAACGTAGAACATACGTCTAGTTGAACCAAACGTAGAACATACGTCTAGTTGAACCAAACGTATCTCGAGACGGTCAATACGGTGAACTAAAAGTGGCGTTGAGCGCTTCGCATGCAGCGTACGCAACGTATCGTGCCACGTACGTAGGCTCGTTACGTACGCCCGACTAAAAGTGTCCATTTAAAATCGCATAAGGCATGGGTCTCAAACACGTGGCACGCTGCGCTTGCATGACGGTCTTTGCCCCACATTTCTTAAAAAAAAAAATTGACGGCAGATCCACGAGGTGAATGATGATGAGATTCGGCGAAGCTCCTATGATACCGTGAAATTTTCTTCCGTTAATTCGCCTGGCGATATGCGCGCTTCGTCGCCGCTTCCCATTGTCAAACGTTTTCAAGATCTGCTTCGCGACGTTGACGTGCTGCCTCGGCCTCTCGTTCCCGTACGGAAGGATCTTGCCGACGCTGACGTGCCGCTGCAGCTTCTTGTTCACGTACGGCGGGATCTTGCCGACGCTGCCTTGCTGATGTGGCTTCTTGTTTCCGTACGGAAGGATCTTGCCGACGCTGACGTGCCGCTGCAGCTTCTTGTTCACGTACGGCGGAATCTTGCCGACGCTGCCTTGCTGATGTGGCTTCTTGTTTCCGTACGGAAGGATCTTGGTGGCGACGTCGCGCAGCTTCCCGGCGCGCTTCATCCTCGCTAGCTCTCACTTCAGGGACCTGTTTGCGAGCGCGCGCCGCCGCTGCCCTGCGCGCCCGCCTTTCGGCATCCTTATCCATACGAGCACACAACGACGGCAACGAGCATCGGCAACTACAAACCTGTATCGATATGGTTCTGATTAAAAAACCATTGTTTTAGAAAACACCTGGCGTCTTTCGTTAAGCAGCTGGCGTCTTCTTTTTGTTTTGCTTTAAAAACATCTGGCGTCTTTTCGTTTTGCTTTTAGAAAACATCCGGCATCTTTCGTTGGTTTATTTCATCCATCAACGGCGTTTTGAACAAAAAATTTTTATTGTTTAATCACGTACAGGATAAATCTCGCCAGGCACTACCTTGGAGGTAAACAATGGCTGCCACTGGGAATGAGAGACAGCAGAAGTCGGCTTTTAACACTTCTACTAACGTTTCCTACTAGAATATGCCAATGGCTGCTAATTGGGAATGAGAGAAGAATTCGGCTTTTAGTTAACGTGCACGCTGCGAATTTTTTTTTTATTATTATTGTTCGACAACGCACAGGAGAAATCTCCCACCGGCACCACCCTGGAGGTCAAAGCGTAAGACTGGTTACACACTACGACTACGACTACGAGGGACGAACGGGTGCCGCTATAAGGAGCTTCGCCTCTAAAAAGTGTTCATAATAGGCACATACATGTTCGTGAGCTGCACAGGCATGACTGGTCTAACGCATTGATTTCGTGCGGCAGCCACATGGTCCCCATGTTGCTAAACGTAGCCGCGAAAGAAAGAGCTATATTTCAGAATCGGCGTCCTGGTTTGAACCATTTTGGTATTCGGTATCGAGATGTTGTTGGAATGCTGGTACCAAATCTATTTCAGAAATGACTTTTCTAAGTGATACTCGGAGTTTTTTTTTTTTTTTTGAAACAGCAATGATTTCTGACAAATTTTACCAACTCACCCCCTCCTCTTGCCCCGCCCCTACATTCCGCACTGTCCCAACAGTCGCGAGACGGGATTGTGGAATTGCGGCCTCCTGGCTGAGGCGAGTTTGAGACCCCTGTCATAAGGTATTTGAAATTCTATTGCGATGCGTGCGAGGACCTCCTTATGATAAATGCTGTTGTTAAAAAACATATACGCACGCACACACACGCACGCACGCACCGACCGGCCGACCTACCTACGAGCAGGCAGGCTGGTCAGGTGGACAACTCACCTTCCTGCAAGAATTTGATGCACGTTCTGTTGATGGCCTTGGAGACGAATCCCAGGCAGGAGAAAACCACAACGCCACTGAAGAACGACACGACGATGTTGACGAGTACCACGATGACCGCATCATGCACGAGACCACGGTACTTGCTGCCACGTCGGCCCAGTAGCTGAAGCAGGCTTGTTCCAGTACAAAGGCTCAGAGCCACTTGAGCCGCAGCGTCGTTCCACACCTGCGAAAGTCACAGGCCATACAGTTAAACACCCAATACTTCATTTCACACACTTCCTCACAGTAGCATGATGACACTGGTACAGTTTTCCTAAGTTATGTGTCAGGACTCCGTACAAAACTAAATTGATCTGTTAACAGCTGCTGCGCGAGTTTATGACGTCTTTTTTTGTTTATTTATGTGTCATACATAGAACATCTTATTTTATGCCAGCAATACTGCAAACTACTTGGCAATACTCGCTTCTGCAGTCATTAACTTCAATGAACGACACAAACATTCTGATATTCGAAAAACCTTAGAAGTATTATCTTACTGTCGCACAAGGTTCCGGAAATATCATATGTCGGGATATTTTTCTCTTGGAATAAATGGCGTGTCTCTGCGTACGCTACTCTGAAGACGGGGTATTTTATTAGCTGACATGCGTAAATGCGCATTTCTTACGTGTTCGGTGCACGATTGCATCACCTATGATAAGATCTTTATTGCAACGGTTGAATTTGTATTCGTTGCTACCGCCCAAAGTACATCCGAGACCAAGTTTTAGCATGCCGCCTTAGTAATAGCGTGCAACAGCGGCATGCTACAATAAAAAAAAAAACACGTCTTCGAGTAAATATTGGCTGACCGGATTACAAATAATTCACTTACGTCAGGCTTCCTCAGGGTTTTCCATTCAAAGGAGAAGAAGTAGTGGAGTCCATTCAAGAAGCCGGGATCACTGGTGATGGTTCCGAAAATTGCGCACATAAACAGTATTAGCACTATGGCAGGTAAAATGGCCGTCTGTAAAGAAGCAAACACAGAGAGGAAAATTGTCACCTGAGGTGAATAGCAGCGACGATAGCAAATAGTGACGTTTAAACGCACCTTCCGGAATGATATCTTGCCCCGAATGACATTTAGATAAGTAACGATCCATCCTCCCAGCAGGCACAGCAACAGGGGCCACGACACAGTTCCCAAGGAGTGGACTTCGGACGTCAACTTGGTCACTACTTCACTGGGAAAAATCGGACGCCGCGTCACAAATATGTCCGCTTTCATGCAGTCCCCAGACACAAATTAAAAAAGAACATCACAAACACATAAAGTGAAGCACGTATTCAGATTTTTCAAATGTGCGTTCAGTTGACTTACTCTCACTTGAAGTAATGTTATGGCACAAGGGCATAAAAAAAAATGCGCGGCGCTGGGACCCGTCAGGGCACCGGCCCAGAAAAGTGTCTTAAGACCAGAACATTTGTGCCCGTCATTGCAGGGTGCATCGCAAAAATGATAGGAAGCATTGGTACCACAGTGGAGATTAATCAAGAGTTTGACGAAAGTTTCTTTGGTCAGGTAACGCAATGAGGAAGAAGATGCAGTTACGGGCCAAGTTGAAATGAAAACACAGAGACGTATCAAGAGTCGTTCATTGATTGATTGATTGATTGATTGATTGATTGATTGATTGATTGATTGATTGATTGATTGACTGATTGATTGACTGACTGACTGATATGTGGGGTTTAACGTCCCAAAACCACCATATTATTTTGACAGACGCCTTAGTGGAAGGCTCCGGAAATTTCGACCACCTGGGGTTCTTTAACGTGCGCCCAAATTCGAGCACACGGGCGTACAACATTTCCGCCTCCATCAGAAATGCAGCGGCCGCAGCCGGGATTCAAACCCGCGACCTGCGGGTCAGCAGCCGAGTACCTTAGCCCACCGAGGCGGGGCAAAATTCGTACAGGTTCCTCGAGTGTGATCAAGGAACCCGTGCCGGTCTTGAAACATCTGTGTTTACAGTTTCATCAAGAAACCCGTACGGGTCCCGCACGAATCGCGTACGCAGCCACTTCGGGAGCCGTATGGGTCCCAACATAGCTGCATGTTTTCAAGCTGACTGTCATCAACCGCAATTCCTCCTCAAGCGATATGAACACATATACCAATAGCGATTCATGTGATGTGGCAACCAGAGGGATTGCGGGTTTAGTACAACTGATAGCGAGCGAACACCCCTGGTAAGCACCCGATAAAGACAGGCTGGATGATATCGTGGTAATAGGGTTTTGTCAGTACCTCCCTTTCTTTTAAGTATGCCCCGTTTTCTTCATTGAACTTTCAGTTGATAGACAGCGCCTGTGTCATGTACTTGCTTGTGTTGCATGCCTTGAGTGCGCTAGCCGTCAGAAGTGCTATCATGGTCATGTGCTCCACATGACTAGCAGCCCAAGCTCAAAGATTACAGCCTTCTATAAGATATCAAGATACTGTCGATAGGTGGCGTCGGGCGGTCCGAAATTTATCCCGCGTATTGACGTGTCCCTGCCATGGAGCGGTCCTGGCGCTAGGCAACAACCACGCTAGATCGTCAACCACTCGGCACCGGGCACTATATCTAGAGTCATGTACTTGCTGAGCCATGTAGTTCCAGCACCAGTGTAGTTGCTGCTTTCGTGCCACATTGCCACGGAACAATGTACACCAAGTGGGATAGCAAATTTTGCGACATTTTGGCACGTTTCTCCGTAAATCGCATCGTAAAGTTGATTCGTGCTCGATCACACACACATAAAAAAAATCTTGAATATCAGTGTATGAAAGCTTCATCCATCGCTTACTCACATTCATTTGATCTAACTTTGTCAGTGTGACTTTTTGTGCGCTATGCAACAGGGATGAAGTCCATTATGACCCCTAAGTTTCAACTTTTTACAAGACAAAAAAAAAGCTATGCATTGTTATGTATAATGTAATGCAGCAAGGCATAAACATTTGCATGAGCTCAAGATGCCCGGAAAAGCTTACTGAAAGTAAACCTCGCTTGGTGCCCGGACCCAGACGAGATCGGCGTCGCTTCCGTTTCCTGTGACGTTTGTCGGGATGCATGGATGGAACATTGGTTCGACCGGTGCTAGGACAGCCTGGACATAAGAAAAAGATACGGGTCTCCACTTTCGTCAGCGCGCACTACAACTTCAATATTGTCGTTTCAGTTCTTTGATGGTCATAATAAAGCAATAAATTCTACGTCGGACGCACCACAATGAAATAAGATTTGTCGGCACGTTAGGTCCCGAAAGAAAATGTTTCGTGTCGATTCTAGAGAACCCGCTGATTTCGTATACCCACGCAAGAAAAAAAGAGCACAATCAAGTGGTCACAACGCGATATTCTACACGGGGGTCGACACACAAGAGAAGACACAGACAAGTGTGGACTTTAAACTGAACATTTATTCAACACGACCAAAAATAAAAACAAAAAGAATTTAAAAACATTAAAGCAGGATAAGATGTCGCTGGATGTTTACCGTTGGCATGCGTAGGATTCCCCTCTGGGGGGGGCGCTAAGGGAAGTCGCAGCAGCCACCCCCCTTCCCTAATACGTCAACGTATGAGACAGACTGCGCCCCCCTCCCTATTAAGTCAATGTATGGGGCAGATTTTGCACCCCCTTCTAGGGTGACTACGGTGGCGGGTGGCCATCTTGTTCCCTGCATCTATGATGATCACACGTGTTCATCAAAAAAAAAACTAATTAGTTTGTCGACATACAGACAGACGCAAGTCAGTTCATCATGCCTTACTGCTGCATGATAAGCCTTCTTGCGCATTACGGGCGGCTTCATTTCTTTCGCGAGTGCACTAGTCCTGAGTTCTGCCTATATGTCGACGAACAAGTTGTTTTTCATCCCATGGAATCTTGTCATGCTTTAATGTTTTTGAAATTTTTTCCAAATATATTTTCTTTTGTGTTCAATAAAGTTCAGTGGAAAGTCAACGCTGGTCTCTTCAGTTTTTTTTTTTTGTGCCTCCGTGTAGAATATCGCGCTGTTTCTACTTCGTAACACTAGCCCAAAGCCAACTAGCCCAAAGCTTCCATTTACTAAAAAAGTCACAGCCTTGCCGCAAAGGCGAAGCAATGAATCGCGGTAGTAACAATTTGAAGTTTCTGATGGAGGCGGGAATGTTGTAGGCCCGTGTGCTCAGGTTTGGGCGCACGTTAAAAAAACGCCAGGGTGTCGAAATTTCCTGAGCCCTCCACTATGGCGTCCTCTCATAATCATATGGTGGTTTTGGGACGTTAAACTCCACATATCAATCATGAATCAATCAACGATTTGAAGGGTCACGTGCAGAATGGAAAGCAGATTGAAACGTGCCCTGCGTTTCTCGCGCGCAAATTACGCACAAAATGTACTCACAGGTACGGATGCACGCGAATAAGCGTCTCATTTGTTACTTCGCTGAGTCTGAAAAGCACGCCCTTTTCTCGAACGGAGACTGCAATGATTGCAGTGACCTTTGTGCGCCCGGTAACTACAGCAAAATCATTCCACGTAAAGCCCGAGGCCAGCCAAGGCATGTGATTCTACCCTCCTCTCCACCGCGAGATAAGGGCGCGCGAGGCAGCGTCGCTCCCCTTCTCTAACCCGGGCAAAGTACGCGTAGGAGATTAGAGCGGGCGCCGCTGCGCGATGTAGCATCGTGCGCTCATTGCGCCATCTTTCTAATAAAGTTGAAAACACAGCAGCGGTAAGTAGTAGATATAAATTGCTTGCCGTTTGAACGGTGAAGAACGTTCTCCGGGGTGGCTCAGTGGTTAACGCCTCGCTTTCACGATGCAGAGGTCCCACGCGCCGGAGTGCTTTTTTCTGGATTTTTTTCTTTCTTGGGTTTCCATATATATAGATACGTATACATAGAGTGCATGACGCTGACGTCGACGCTGGTGGCAAAATCCACCAGAGAGTGTCCATATAATTGCTGTCGCAATAAAATAAACAGAGACGCAGGTTCGTTCAGCTGAAATGCGTTTCTTAGCCAGTCTTGTTGACCTGCTTTTCTTTTTCTGTTTCTCTTGAGGAGACATTATACCAGCGAGTGCTGCACTAAAATCCTTGTGAAACAACTAACTCAATTTATTGCTGCTGAGATTAATTTTGTTCGCCCCGCAGCTTTAATTTCCGACACCATTCGTTGTATAACCCGGATGCAGACGCATTACCTAGAGATCCAGCATCTTTAATACATACACATTACCGCAGGACTTCATTGGGGTTCCTGGAAACGATAGCAATTTGTTTTCCTTTTAACAAGAATCCTAAATCCTGACTTCTAAACAAAGAGAACGGGCTATAGCGCTCCTCCGGCAGCTTACTCAGCTCGAAACCTGACTGGACACTTCGATATCTTGATTCAAAAGATTTATTGATATGTGGGGTATTAACGTCCCAAAACCTCTATATGATCATGAGAGACGCCGGAGTAGAGGGCTCCGAAAATTTCGACCACCTGGTGTTCTTTAATGTGCGCCCAAATCTGAGCACACGGGCCTACAACATTTCCGCCTCCATCGTAAATGCAGCCGCCGCAGGCGGGATTTGATCCCGCAACCTGCGGGTCAGCAGCCGAGTACCTTAGCCACTAGACCACCGCAGCGGGGCTTGATACAAAAGAGCGTTTTTGAACAGCTTGTATACTATAGTTATGTGCTAGTCCAGCTATACTGAGATTAAATCTGGTTCAGAGAGCCACTGCTAATCGTCAGGTGTTTTGTGCTGATTTCTGTATCTGCACAAAATTTGGCGCAATTCAGTATTTAGTATTTTATGCTGTGGTTGAATTGTATCGCTCAGGACAATAGGAACTGCTGACTATAGGAACCATAAAACAATAGTAGCAATATTGAGCCAGTATGTATGACATGCTTCGTCACAGTGATATGCCACAGGACCAATAGCGTTGCCTAACTGATATAAAGATATCAAATAAAAGCTTTTACCCTTTACGACGGTCTCGTTGCCGCAGTGGCTCCACGGAAGTGTCTCCTGCATCGAGGAGAACAGGTACAGCAACACCCACGTCAGGATGGCCATGTAGTAGACGGACATCAGCGCCAGCAGGCTGGAGTAGGCGTACCCCACGCCTGCGGCACGCGGAGCGAAAGAGAAACGCAGAGAGGCGAGGCGACATGCATTAGGTTACGCCAGGACTACTCCAAGAATCAGGAGGTCAATACTATTTTATTAACATAACATGCGACGTTCGAACATCTTTCCGGAAACCAGGTTGGGTAAGTACGTTCATGAGATCAAGCTAGACGCGTTCTCATGCTGTATTTACACGATTAGTCAGTCAAGCATATTGCCACGTTCCATTTCACAAGTTTTTGTTGTCGTTCCGAAACACCACACGATTCTCGGCGCAAACCGCGCCTGCAGGTTTCGAGAAGGTTCCGGACTGTAGTAGATCATTTCGATAAGATCACGCCCACTGTGCGAACGGTACAGATTGTTCTGGAACCTACGCCACCACCAGCGATAACGCTAGAACATTCGACGGCAAGGGTATAAATGCCGACGCGCTTCGCCGCTTGTCAGTTGTTGATCGAAGGCCGACGCTGCGTTCGCCGCTATCAGTCCGAGACTGCTATCTGTGCAAGACTGCTGCTGTAATTAGACTTTCCGTTTACCGGGCACAGGTTCGCCCAAATAAACAGTTAAATCCCAACACGAAGTCTCCTGTCTTCGGCCACGTCACGACCCCGTGACATCTGGTGGAGGTGCTGCTTCGTTCATGTACCGGACGCCCCCGTCAAGCCGTGAACCCAGCCCACGTCGCGGAGAAGACACCGACGCCAACCAGGAGCAGCGAACAAGCCGCCGACAGCAAGGGCTACCACCGGAGTACGGGATTCTAGAAGACAAGGCGCGGAAGACCAAGGCCATGACCGCGACTGCAGCGACGATGACAACCGCCGCGTCCCAGCCCACGATTGTCATGCATCAACCCAGGGAACCACCAATTTTCCATGGGTCATCGTTCGAAGACCCGGAGTCCTGGCTAGAAACATACGACCGTGTGGCCGCCCTCAACCACTGGGACAACGAAGAAAAGCTCCGTCGTGTGTACTTCTACCTGGAAGACACCGCAAGGACCTGGCTAGAGAATCGTGAGTCCACGCTCCGAACGTGGGATGTCTTCTGCGGCGCATTTCTGCAAACGTTCGCGAGCGTCGCTCGCAAAGAAAGGGCCGCTGCTCAACTAGAGACCCGGGTTCAGCTACCAAATGAGAAGGTTGGAATTTTCACAGAGGAGATGACCCGCCTATTTCGTCATGCTGACCCAGACATGCCTGAGGAGAAGAAAGTTCGTTTCCTCATGCGAGGGGTCAAACAGGAGCTCTTTGCGGGACTAATGAGGAATCCACCGAACACCGTCCAAGAATTTGTATCCGAGGCGACCACCATCGAAAAAACCCTTGACATGCGCACCAGACAGTATAATCGTCGCCTGACTCCAGAATGCGCTGCTGCTCAAACCAGTGACTCCGAAAACCTGCGTGAAACGATCCGAGCGATCGTGCGGGAAGAGCTGCGCAAACTGTTGCCTTCGGCGCACCCTCAAGTGGATTCGATCGCCGACATTGTGCGAGAAGAAGTTCGGCAATCACTTCGAATTCCCCAACCACCGCTGCCCGAGCCAGAAACTATGAACTACGCCGCTGCAGTGCGCCACAACGCTCCTCCCCGTCCACGCCGAAACGCCGCCCCGTCGCACTTCCGTCGCCAGACACCACCGCCGCCACCACCCCCACCGACGACCTACCGTTCGCCATCGGGCCAGCGCAGTGCGCCGAGGAAAACCGACGTTTGGCGCACCCCTGACCGCCGCCCACTGTGCTACCACTGCGGCGAGGCCGGGCACACTTACCGCCGTTGCCAGTACCGACAGATGGGACTGCGTGGCTTCGCCGTCGATGCACCACGTCCGCAGCCAGGGGAACGGCCACGTGACATCGCCGACTACCTCACAGGAACTCAATGGACACCACGAATTCCTTCCCGTTCGCCATCGCCTAGCCGCCGCATGTCACCGCACCCCCGGCAGTACTCTGGCCTAACGCGGGGCCGGTCTCCTAGCCCGTATCCGGGAAACTAAGGGCAGCAACCGATGGAGGTGCGGTTGCTGTGCGACGAACTACCGAAGATCCTCCGACGACGACGCCGACGCGACGGAGCTTTTTGAACACAACACCAACCAGGCAAAGCCCTGAAGGCAAAAGCTCACTTACCGAAGGTGGCCGGACGACGCAACATGGAAGCAGCGGAACAAGCAGACGCAGCCGTGACCCGACGCCACGCCCTAACTGTAATGCAAGACGGCGAACTAGCGACCTCGACGTTCTTATCGACGGCCACAGTGTGACCGCTCTCGTCGATACTGGAGCCGACTATTCTGTCATCAGTGGGTCGTTCGCCGCGAAGTTAAAGAAAGTTAGGACAGCTTGGAAAGGCCCTGAAATCCGCACAGCCGGAGGTCATCTCGTAACGCCTGCAGGAATCTGCACAGCGAGAGTCACCATTAACGGCCGTATTTATCCTACAGACTTCGTAGTCCTACAGCGTTGCTCGAGAGATGTCATCCTTGGCATGGACTTCTTATGCCTCCATGGTGCTGTCATCAACCTAAAAACAAAGTCGATAACGTTATCCACAGAAGAAGCACTACCGCCGCGCACGCCGTCAGGACACCATGCCTTGAATGTGCTGGAAGAACAAGTCACCATTCCGCCTCGCTCAAGCGTCATTATTTCAGTCGGCGCTCCTAAATCACCTGACTTGGAAGGCGTCGTTGAAGGCAGTCAGCATCGGTTGGTCACTCGAAATATTTGCGTCGCAAGAGGAATAGCAGAGCTGCGGGGAGGCAAAGCAATGGTTATGCTCACGAATTTCAGCAATGAGTACAAACATGTGAACAAAGGAACAACGGTCGCATACATCGAAGAAATTGTCGAAGCCACCAGTGCTTTCGCCCTCGCCGATTCTGCGGAACCTGCTCAGAGGAACCAAGCCCCTCCCATAGCTTTCGACGTCAATCCCAGACTTCCGAACGATAAGCAAGAACAGCTCAAGGCCCTGCTCCTGCAATACGAAGATTGCTTTTCGTCGTCATCGAAAATTCGGCAGACCCCAATCACGAAACATCGAATCATAACCGAAGAAAATGCCAGACCACTCCGTCAGAGTCCGTACAGGGTTTCGACGCGAGAACGTGAGGCAATGAAGAGACAAGTTGACGAAATGCTGCGAGATGACATTATCCAGCCGTCCAAGAGTCCGTGGGCATCCCCCGTGGTGTTAGTGAAGAAAAAGGATGGGACCCTACGTTTCTGCGTCGATTATCGCCGCCTGAACAAAATCACGAGAAAGGACGTGTATCCTCTCCCACGAATAGACGACGCACTTGATCGGCTCCATAATGCCAAGTACTTCTCGTCAATGGACCTCAAGACTGGCTATTGGCAAATCGAAGTCGACGAAAGAGACCGAGAGAAGACGGCGTTTATAACACCGGACGGCCTCTTCGAGTTTAAGGTGATGCCCTTCGGCCTTTGCTCAGCGCCTGCAACTTTTCAACGCGTTATGGATACAGTACTGGCAGGATTGAAGTGGCAGACTTGCCTTGTGTACTTGGACGACGTCGTCGTGTTTTCCTCGAGTTTCGACGAGCATCTTCGGCGCCTTGAAGCTGTACTTCAAGCCATCAAGACGTCCGGACTCACACTGAAGCCAGAAAAGTGAAGATTTGCGTATGAGGAGCTCTTGTTTCTGGGGCACGTTATCAGCAAGTCTGGAGTTCGTCCCGATCCACGGAAAACAGCCGCCATCGCCGACTTCCCGCCGCCCACTGACAAGAAGGCCGTGCGCCGATTTCTGGGCCTGTGCGCCTATTATAGGCGGTTCGTGAAAAACTTCGCCCGCATCGTCGATCCTCTCACTAACCTTACCAAGGCCGACGTGGAGTTCAAGTGGGAAACGCCACAGGAACACGCTTTCCAGGAGCTTAAACATCGCCTCCAGACGCCTCCGTTACTTGCCCATTTCGACGAATTCGCCGAGACAGAAATACATACTGACGCAAGCAGCGTAGGTCTTGGCGCCGTTCTTGTGCAGAGGGCTGACGGACTTGAAAGGGTTATTAGTTACGCCAGCCGATCGCTATCCAAAGCAGAAGCAAATTATTCCACAACAGAAAAGGAGTGCCTCGCCATCATCTGGGCTACGTCGAAATTTCGCCCCTACCTCTACGGCAGGCCCTTCAAAGTTGTGAGCGACCACCACGCCTTGTGTTGGCTAGCCACCTTGAAGGACCCTTCAGGTCGCCTCGCACGATGGAGCCTGAGACTTCAAGAATATGACATTACTGTCATTTACAAGTCCGGCAAAAAACACTCCGACGCTGACTGTCTCTCTCGTGCGCCTGTCGACCAACCGCTACCCGACGACTCGGATGACGACTACTTCTTGGGAACGATAACTACCGACGACTTCGCTGAACGACAGCGGGCCGACCCGGAACTTAAAGCCCTAATAGAATACCTCGAAGGCAGGACCGCCGAAGTCCCGAAGGTATTCAAGCGCGCACTTGCGTCGTTCTTTCTACGAAACGGTCTTCTACAAAAGAAAAACTTTTCACCGCTTCGAGCTAAGTACCTCCTTGTGGTGCCTTCAGCTCTGCGACCAGAACTCCTGCAGGCCCTGCACGACGATCCGACGGCAGGGCACCTCGGTGTTTCCCGCACGCTCGCGAGGATACAAGAAAGGTACTACTGGCCACGTCTTACCACCGACGTCACTCGTTATGTGAGGACATGCCGGGACTGTCAGCGACGCAAGACACCGCCGACAAGGCCAGCGGGACTTCTGCAGCCAATTGATCCACCTTGCCGACCTTTCCAGCAGATTGGTATGGACCTACTGGGGCCGTTCCCGACGTCGGCTTTCGGAAACAAGTGGATCGTGGTAGCTACCGACTACCTCACCCACTACGCCGAGACAAAAGCCCTGCCAAAAGGCAGTGCATCCGAGGTAGCTAAGTTCTTCGTCGAAAATATCGTCCTACGTCACGGCGCCCCGGAGGTCCTTATCACCGACAGAGGAACGGCATTCACTGCCGACTTAACTCAAGCGATCTTGGCATACAGCCAAACAAACCACCGCCGGACGACAGCGTACCACCCACAGACCAACGGCCTCACCGAGCGGCTTAACAAGACGATCGCCGACATGCTGTCAATGTACGTCGATGTCGAACACAAGACGTGGGACGCCATTCTTCTGTATGTGACCTTCGCATACAACACGGCGGTGCAGGAGACGACGCAGATATCTCCATACAAATTGGTCTACGGAAGGAGCCCGGCAACGACGCTCGATGCCATGTTACCCAACGTCACCGACGAAGAAAACCTCGATGTGAGCGAGTACCTTCAACGCGCCGAAGAAGCCCGACAACTTGCGCGTCTCCGTATCAAGAATCAACAGACGACCGACAGCCACCGTTACAACCTTCGACGACGCTTCGTGGAATACCAGCCCGGTGAACGTGTTTGGGTGTGGACGCCGATACGCCGACGTGGACTAAGTGAAAAGCTTCTGCGACGGTACTTCGGACCGTACAAGGTGGTTCGACGTCTCGGCCCACTTGATTACGAGGTTGTCCCCGACGGCATCACGAACTCTCAACGACGCCGATCGCGACCTGAAGTGGTCCATGTCGCGCGCCTCAAGCCGTTTCATGCACGTTAACAAACTGAAACAGTGTTTTTTTGTATTATTGTGTATTGTAATTTATTCATTGTACTTTCTTGCATTATTATTTTACCCTCATCTTTAGTTAAAGCATCGGGACGATGCCTTTTTTCAGAAGGGGGCAATGCCACGTTCCATTTCACAAGTTTTTGTTGTCGTTCCGAAACACCACACGATTCTCGGCGCAAACCGCGCCTGCAGGTTTCGAGAAGGTTCCGGACTGTAGTAGATCATTTCGATAAGATCACGCCCACTGTGCGAACGGTACAGATTGTTCTGGAACCTACGCCACCACCAGCGATAACGCTAGAACATTCGACGGCAAGGGTATAAATGCCGACGCGCTTCGCCGCTTGTCAGTTGTTGATCGAAGGCCGACGCTGCGTTCGCCGCTATCAGTCCGAGACTGCTATCTGTGCAAGACTGCTGCTGTAATTAGACTTTCCGTTTACCGGGCACAGGTTCGCCCAAATAAACAGTTAAATCCCAACACGAAGTCTCCTGTCTTCGGCCACGTCACGACCCCGTGACAATATTTAGAAAGGGCGTTCACTTGTGCATTTCTGGTCCGTACAAAGCTTCACAACGAAATTGAGACACGGTACCTGAAATGACCAACAGCTATCGAGCTATAGATGCATTAAGAGTGAAGACACTGCCTTGCCAAGGGTCTTTTTCTTCGGGAAAGGAGATTACGTTCAGTCATGATCATTAGTCTTCACGAAAGAATGCACCGCGCGAAACAACTAAGCTACTTAAATAAAGTATGTCTCAGTGAGACCGATAAAAAAGTTAAAAAGACAGAGAAGCCGCAACGTGTTTAGGACAAAACTTAATCAACACTTCGCGTTGTGAGTTCTGTAGTAAACAAGACCCGCTGTCAAAACACCAGCTGAACCAACTTCGTGTTTGTTTTGGCAACAATTTTTTTTGTCTATAGACGCCTTCGCGAGGACAGGAGATGTGGCCCGAAATTTATTTGGAGGAGAGAGGGGGCGACCCTTTTTTATGTATGTGCGCGTGTACACACAAATATAAATGTGTCGGGGGAGCGGGAGAGGGGAGTCGGACCACCGCAACATCACCTCTGTGTATGCCACAGATGAGAACGGTGCTGACTCGCAGCTCTGCTGAGCTTATACTCCCATGGCCACTTTCGTTTTCCTTTGGCAGCGAATAACCACAGGTTACAGGAAGGAGAGGCAATGTCGGGCTAACCGTTCTGCCACCTCTTGAACAAATCTTTTTGTCGTCTTCACTTAAGCAGACAAAAATTTCCTGTCGTACTTGTATTGCTAAACCCTATAGGTTACCCACCTTTCCAGCTAACACAAGGCGAGTAAAAGACGTCGCACCTAAAACCGGAAGATCAACGTACGCAAGCCTAGAAATATCTATAGCGCATATTTGAAAAGCAGCCGCGTGTGAGCGCATGCCTGCGAAACAACGAAGTGTGAGTAGATAAAGAGATGTGAAAGAAAAAAAAAAGAAACGAATCCTGCAAGCTAGGTGCATTGCGTGGGCGTACAGATAGCGGACGCCATACACACTCCAAGAGGCACTTAGCACCGATCACCGGCAGCCCCCATTGGGACCAAGCCAGTGATTGAGGGTATAGTGCAGGAAATGAGACTTTTATTGTGTCCAACGGCGTCGATAAGGTTACCGCACGCAGGCACGAGCTGAATCAGCGCGTTTTCCGATAAAGTGGCACACATCGGAGCCTCCAATGGAGGGGGGGGGGGGGCAAGTATAGTGCAGCATGTCATGCACTCACCCTTGAAGATAGGCACGAGATGCCCCAGGCATTGTCCGCCGCCCTTTTTGTTGGCGTGCAGCCGCCCGATGGTCTGTTCCAGGTAATAGAGCGGGAATCCCACCAGCACGAAAAGGATTATGCACGGAACTAGCACGACACCTGCACAGTAGAAAGAGGAACATGATGTGCTGTTAGAGAATTCAGTTACCTTACACGGAAAACATCAAAACTTTTTGCGTAAAACGAAAGAGAAGAGGTGTATTACCATGAGAAATTTATCGAACGCGCAGCGAAACTTTTTTTTGGTGGTGTCTTCAGGTAATAGTTTACGTTCCATAACATGCTGAACAGAATAGCACTTTCCGCAATATCCTAGCTTTTCGGTGAAGCGAGAGAGTATTCTGAGTGTAAGGAAAACGCATATGATGTCCGGTTTGAAGTCATTAAGCAAGAGGTACTCCTTCAATCTACTGTTGAACTTTTTTTACTTTTTTTTTTTTACAGAGGATCTGTTTAAGCCCAGCATTGGTCCATGAAGGGTGAACAAAAATGATTATTGTCATGCTGTCACAAACGACTCCAATTTTCGGATCATCCGCGGGCCCCATCTTCCAAGGAAGGGCGCTTTTGTGTTGGGGGGACGACATCCGGCGACTATAACGACCCAGCGTGGCGCCGGCTCGTCTTCCCTGCACCGGTACCGGAAGGGGCACCGGCGGTCTAAACAAGGAAAATTACTCCCAGATGAGACGGGAGCACGTGTACGCCTCTAAGGAGGTTTGAACTGCATCGGAAGAGCAGTTGACGTACAGCCAGCAACAAGTGCGGTCGTCGGTGTCGCGAGTCTCGCGTAGGCGGCGAGCATGGAGTGACCCGCGCAACGTATTGAGACGGCTGCAATTCCGGGCACCCTCGTCGTCTACCAAGCCGGCGAGATCTCCAGCGGCACCCGTCAACTCCCCTACGTGTACCAAGAGCTGGCCTGGTCCGTATGGAACTTTTTATTGAGACTTTTTTTAAACTGTTAAATTATTATAACCAGCCTTTTTTATTATTTGTAGTTTTGTGCGCTGCGACGCACGTAGAAATTCAAAAGCGCGACCAATGATCATTCTGTAGTTATTTCCTTGTAACCCTCTTTTACGATTTCCATGTTGTTGTTATTTTATTAATGCTCCGCATATTTGTCTTTAGTTTGTATCTTTTGTAGTGTTTTTAGCATATTTTGTTAATAGCTGTTCTTTCTATCGCGCGTATTAGTTTCCTCCTTTGTTATTTTTGTTAACTCCTGCCTTTGTCCTTGCTTCAATTAAATGCTTGTTCGTTATGTATAAAATCTCCGTGTCTGCTCTATGAGTGCGTCGGTCATGCTCATTCATCACCACACGTTCAACCCCGCACGGGTCGGCCAACCTGCAAATAAATTTGAAATGTGCCACTTCGAGGCCTTTCAGGCGTCGCAGGCCGAAGCGTAAAGTGGAAGCTTGCGAGTCTGCCGCACGTCGACGTTGGATCGGCGGGGCCTCACCCGAAGTGTGTGACACATGCGCTTTCTGCATATATCCTTCTTCCTTTCCGTCGTCTTCTGCTTCGCTCCCTGAACATGTGCGTAGATTTATACAACGTGGCCTGCAATAACTTGAAAGAATCACGCCCATCAAGCGGCTGGCGTGACACGTTCTGCGGACCAGTGACGCACATGGACCACTCACGGGCTTAAAGCGGCAGCCGTGATGCAGCTTGGACAGTCGGCAACAAACCGCTGAGCACGCTGAAAGGGTGGCCCTGGTGAGGTGAAGGTTTTTATGTTTATAAGAAGGAAAAGAAGAGAAAAGAGAGCCCCGTAACTGTCTGCATCAGGGTGCGACACCACAACAGTAGCTCACAAGGGATGGGGGTGAGGAGGAATTAAAAGGATAGGAATAAAGGTGTAGATAGAGAAAAGAGATATGCGCTAAGCCAGCGAGCGAGGAGATATCGAGCAGATAGGAGAGATAGGAAAGATGAAAACACGGTCACAGGAGTCCGAGGACGGGGCACCACTTGCGAGAGCTCTTTTGGCGTCAGGAGGTGGCGTAGGACAAGTCCAGTAGGTCATAACTACGCTGTCATCGGAGATCGGCGTCAGGAGATGACGTAGGGCGAGCCCAGTCGGCCAGAGCTACGCTGACGCCGGAGATCGCGAGGGCAGAACCGGTCGGCACGGAATCTAGCGAGCGATTCGGGGACAGTGCGCGTGCACTCAGTGTTGTATCGTGTAGCTTTTGCATTCTCGTAGTGTTCATAAATGTTTAGTTTTGGAGTTCAACCGGCCAACATCATTTACTTGGCACGGAGAACCTGCAAACTCTCATGGGTGAGAAAACGTGGCAAAGAAACAAAATAACAGATAGAGAGAAAGAGAACTTTGTTAGCGAAAAAATTCTTGACGAGCTGAGATTCAATACCACGTGCCCATGGTCCGAAAACAACCATCATGACCACCCACTATTCAATACGCCTGCAGAGCATAACAGTCTTGTGTAGCATAGTACACAAATGGTGTGGGAAAAAAATTGAGGCTGAGGTGGAGGGCAGAAAGTAAAGCATCGCTAGATAGAGAGAGGCAGACGAAAAGAGGAAGAAAGCGAAAGATAGAAGCAGCGCGAAATAGAAATCAATATAGAGAAAGAGACGAAGTATAGAAATAGAGACAAAATACGTAAAAAGAACAGAGAGAAAAAATGAAATAAATGAAATAAAAAGTTAACATCTTCCCAAAGAGAACCATGATGGAATGCAAAACAGCAGCGTTGCGCACGGACGGCGTCACAGATTGAACGGCGCTAACGCGGGTGCTGCGGTGAGCGCTGGAAGATTCATTTGAAGCGACAGCAGGCGTAGGTCTTGTGGTTTCTTCAGAGTGGACACGGGCGCTGGAACCGAAGTTGGTGCGCTTTTCGCCTTGACTACCACGGCCTTGTGATCAGGTGAAGTGTACGCTGAGAGGTTCCTGCAGACGTTTGACGTCGAAGTTGGCTATAACACGAGATCGATGCACGTTCCCCTTATCGTTGTAGGTAGTTTCCACTCCACCGTCACGCACTTCAGCGAGTTCACGTCACGCGTGGAACCAACGAGCCAATCTCCTCCGCTGACGTCAACGTTGAAGTCTGCCGCGACTATAAGATGCGCACGTCGACAAGCCTCGTCGCAGTCAGTCAGCGTCTCCTCTAACAGCGCTGAACGTGTTCCTTCAGCAGGTTGGGAGCGAGGTACAGCATGAGGATCGCGACGTCGCCGGCGCGCACGGCAACGCACTCAGAGCAGGAGCGTCTTCGAAAAGTTACGGGTCGTTCTTCTAGGTCGGCCTTACACGCGCGTAGCGCGCACTCACTCGGAGCGTAAACAGTGACTCCTCCAACGTTGCGAGTGGTGGAGAGGGTGGAGCGAGGAAGATGACACATGGCGAGCGGCGACAGGCTAGGGAGAGAGCGACGTCGACGCGCGCGCACTGCGATGGAAGGCGTGACCTACTTGGTACCGCGCCAACACCTGTGGCCAGGGAAGCGCGGTGCGGACAGAGGGACAGCGTTACAAAGGCTAGTCAAAGAGCTGTTTTGCATCTAAAAGAAAAATAAACAGAAGCAAACATGGTCACCCCTCCTCGCACTTTCTTGAGGCCTGTCACAAATATAGTGTGAAGCTGCCTAAACTTTTTTTTTCTGTCTTACAGACTGCGCATAAGGCTTTTGTAGTGTTGAGAAGGTTTACACCGCCACTTTCATGATTTTAAAACACTTGCTAAGACAAGTCACTGAAGTGATCGTTAACGAACTTGTAAGGGCCACGCTACTATTCAAAACAAGTGATGCCGCCTACAAACAAAAAATACGCATTAAACGCTATTCTATTGTTTCTTTAAAACAAATTTACAGGTCATTTATAGTCAACCCAAATACAAAATAATGGACGATAGTTTCCTAATTAAACGCTCATTTTCTCGCCTTTGAAAAGCAAGAAAAAATTGTTGCAGGTATCCCTTGTATGCATTTTAAACAAAATTACAAGCAAGCCTTAAGTACGCGGCAGCATCCGAGAAATTTACATGATTATGATCTGTGACGTAACCTTAACGGCACCTCACAGGACAGAATTGCAATTTTCTTCCGTACACGCTGTAAATGACTAGGTACCACAGGGTCTTTTAATTAATCTCGTTCCTCGTGCAGTCACAAGTAATCTGCGTCGAAGTGCCTAATGATTACGAGCACATTTCCAAGGGACACCAATTAAAATGCTGCATCGTGAGCTATAACAGATATGAATGATAATAATTACCACCATTTTTATTTCGTTAAGGAACGAGCCTCTAAATCTACCGCTCAGTGGGAGCAAGCTGCAAAAAATTCGACATTTTCTGAGGACGGCCATATATTGATGGTAACGTTGGAAACACATATCGGTGAAGTTAGCCATTAAGTCAGAGAACTACGAAAGACATCTGAAGGGCATCAGTGTCACCTAAATGAAGGAAGCGGTACTTTTTCTCGCTCCGTCTCTCCCTCCCATTCACTCGCAACACGCACACAAACACAGACATACAGTCAGACACACGCGCGCGCAAATACAGCAGCACTCGAGATCCCCGTCGCATGTTTACCCAGTATGAAAGCTTGTAATGCCTGGATGACTCCTTCACAACCTACTTCTACTGCGGTATCTTACAAAAAGTCCACAGGGCAGCGTATTCCAAGTACTGATACCTGAAAGCAGAAGGCTTTCGCCGTATCTTGTTGGAGTTCAACCGGCCCCTCGTGCTTGGCCACATTACGCGATAAGAGTGGGAACTTCCGAAAAAAAAAAGGCTTCTATTGACTGAGTAGTGACCCGGTTTAACAGCGCATATTACTGTGCTCACGTACGCTATAGGTATATGGAAAACTGCCACTTCGCAGAAAACAAATAATTCGGAACCGTGCACTCTCGATGGCTTTTGCTTGTATGCTATTTTCGAAGCGCTAGTAATATGTCCAGCAATGTGATTTGGTTGATAAAAATGGCCTTATGATCGACTGAAGCGCAAGATTTATCGAAGCGTATAAGCTATACTGGCCGAGGTTGAGCAGTTCCACGTGGCTTACGGTGAGCAGGTCTACCAGGCGCGAGAAGCAGAGACGTCTCAAGGCAGCACAGCTGGCACGCCAGAAATCTCTGGCCATCTCTGGCCATCTCCGTCACTGCAGAGCTTCTGGAAGCCTGGAGTGACGTGTCACTTAGTGGTCTGGTGCTGTACCCGCGTGAGATAACTAGCTCGCTATTCCGTCAGTAAGTCCGTCCATACACGTGGTTCGTCCGTCCATCTATCTATCCGTGTTTCGCCCATTCATCCGTTTGTCCATCCGTAGCTCAAGCTACGTATATCCTTACATAGCCGAGCTAAGCCACTGCGAATTTTTTCCCGATTTCGTAACTTGAATTCACAGTCGCAAACAATGAAGGTATCGATTATTGTAAACTTTCTGATGATATTATTTATGTGATTCTTAAAGAGAAAAGAGAAAAATGGGCCCCGTAACTGTCTGCATGAGAGTGCGACACCTCAACAGCTCACGAGGAATTGGGGTACGGATGGGATTAAAAAGATAAGATTAAAAGGTAAATAGAGAGAGGAAGAAGGGAGCCAGGCGCAGGGACAGCGAAGGACAGAAAACGACGGAAGTAGAGAGGAGATAGGAAAGATGGACACGGTCGCAAGAGTTTGAGGACGGGGCACCACTCAGCGAGAGCTCTTGTCGGCGGCAGGAGATGGCGTAGGGCGAGCCAGTCGGCCAGAGTTGCGCTGTCGTCGGAGATCGCGGCGGCACAACCGGTCGGCACAAAATCTAGAGAGCGAACTCCAATGATATTACTTGATAACTTCATATTTTATGTGCTTGACGAATTGCTTTATGTGCTCGACGAGTTTTTTTCCGCGTGCAATAGAACTGTGGAATTCCCTGCCTAGTAGCATTCGCTCCTTACCACTAACCGACTTGATAGTTGCTGTCGATGAATATCTTACTGACGCGTTAATTAACTTCATTTTTACTTTTGCTTTGTTACGAGTGTACTTGCTTCACAATTTGTTTTATTTGTTTGTATTTTTTCTCTGTTGCCTAGCATTATATAACGTCCTATTCCTGCGATAGCTCTGAATAGGGCTGCAGTATGTATAAATAAAATAAATTAATTAATGAGCTCGATCCGAACCATGCTTGTATGCGCCCGTGCGAGCAGCGGTTACTGCGAAAATTCGACCCCCGACCCCCCTCTCATTGGGGAGGGGTAGCGGGTCAAATTTTAAACGCGCGAGGAAGAGAAAGAGTTTTTTTTTTTTTTCTTGACAGGTTGAACTGTTCGTCACGTGCAGCGTGAGGAACGTTAAGCGGTGCGTGAACACAATTATGAACACTGGCGGATGCAGACGAATGAGAAATGCCTCGATTTCAGATTAGTACCTACCATAAGCTTTTCCGAATGAGTTCATGGCGTCTATTAGGGGCGAAACATCTTAGGTTCACGGCTTGTCGGCGCGTCGTGTCCATCGTCACGGTCCATCCCAAACGGGTACACGTCACAAAAGTAGGATAAATCCCACTACTCGCCACTGGTCCATACTATGCAAGTTAAGGATTCCTCGTTGCTGCTTGAAAACACTTTGTTTGTCCCAATTGGCCTAAGAAAGATGCCAGACTCCCCGAAAAAATATACCGAGGCGCTCAAGTTTCTTTTCTGAAACCAGACACACCAACGTGGGTCTCTAGGGTAAAGTCATCTATTTGAAACATCACTTCATGAAAGCTATTTGCATGGTGCTTTACAAAGCAACGCTTAGCCCAACAACATCCGTCAACGTTAGTGCAGCTCGAACACCCATGCCTTGTATGCTCGTGTCTGGCGCCACTAGTACCTCATCGAATGAATCTCTCTCAAAACAATGTGTTAGCAGATTTGGCTCTGTTCATGATTCGCCTCTGCCCAGGTTTCCTACTAGTAGAGCTGAAACACCCTTCTTTTATGCTTCAGCCATCCTTAGTGTTCTTTCTTTCTTTTTTTTTCTGAAACAGTGACGACCGAATCCCGCTTGAATAGGGCGCGAATTGCAAAATACGCTCTCTTTAATGTTTGCGCAACGTGAGTATCGCACATCTTCACAAAGAGAGTCGCATCAAATTCCGATAGAGTCGCTATATATGGAGCGACTGATAAAACTACGAAAAGCAGACCGAACGGCAGGAACAGCAATGCTCTTCGGGGGCCCAATTCTCAAAACTACTTCTTCGTAAGCGTGTTTTCTCATTGGTCAACCGGTTTCACTGATAAAATGTGTTTTAGGGTGATTGGTTGAAGTATTCTTTATAGAAAAATTTTTAGTGCAAGACGTTTCTGTGCATACGGCCCAGAAACTTTGTTATCAGTACATGTACCGAACACCAGATCACAAGATTCAAGAGGCTTCCGCTCCGCTAACGAAATTTTGGATACGAGCCACTTGCATGCATGCTCTAATCTAAAGCTGTGGCAAAAGTCTCAATATATACTCAATGCTAGACTCGTAATGTTCAATATCATTTTCTATCCCGCATTTTTAATATTAATTCGGACATCCCATTCTCACTTCCTTGCACTTGAGTGAACCAGACTGGCCCAACGGAAAAGGTGCGGACGAGCCATACTGCGCAAGTTAGCATATATTGAGGAAGAGTTGCGGCTTTTGTTTGCTCTGCATATTTGAGAGTACACAGCGCGACCTTTCTAACGAGTACAATCAACCTGTGCCACTTACAGAGTTTCTATTTTTTTTAGTTTATCATAACCGTCCAAATGAGCGCGCCATTCACCGTGAACATACAAGGGCACTGCCTAAAGAACCGATCAAAACATATCGATGAATCCCAATTAATGGACTGATCCAGAAGGCTGTTCACTAAGCTCGGCTCCACCAGGAATGACTCAAACTCACCAAATAACATTTATCCATCGTTATCTTTTATCGCCCACCATATCAACCGTGGTCGCGGGTATTGTCTTACCTCCGTGCTTGTAGGCGATGTAAGGGTACCTCCAAATGTTGATGATGTCAGCGCTGGGCGCCAGGCAGGTGAGCAGAAAGGTGAGGCGCCGCGAGCAGAGACGCGCCCTTCCTTCCTCGCGGTCGTCGTTGTCCTCTTCGCCAGAGTCCAAAGAGATGGTGTCCAGCGGAGTGTCCAGAGGACACTCGCGCTCTTGCATCTGCGAACGGGGAAAACGAAAAGGGCAGGGCTCAATGGCTCCCTTCTGTGCTTTTGATATCTTGATAACACGAGCACATTTGTTTAGTTAGTTAGTTAGTTAGTTAGTTAGTTAGTTAGTTAGTTAGTTAGTTAGTTAGTTAGTTAGTCAGTTATTTAGTTAGTTACTTATTTAGTTAGTTACTTATTTAGTTATTTAGTTAGTTAGTTAGTTAGTTAGTTAGTTAGTTAGTTAGTTAGTTAGTTAGTTAGTTAGTTAGTTAGTTAGTTAGTTAGTTAGTTAGTTAGTTAGTTAGTTAGTTAGTTAGTTAGTTACCCGATTCTTCAGTGATTGAAGCCCTTTGAAAGTTACTGGCATTGTGCAAAAATTAACCCTTTTCAATAATTATTTACATACAATCGATTATATTTGGCATTGATTTTATGGGCAAAGCACCTTACGGGTGAGTCTTGACCGGTGTTGACTGTCACGGCTACATTAGATGGGGCGACACTCGGGTAACGTACGGCACTAGTCGGCTTCGCCCCTCCCCCGCGTCCCTTTAGACGTGGCACACGGGAGATTTTATTTTTATTCGCAACAGTGACAAAGCAGTAGCGAATTCCAGCAAAAATGCTTCAAGGAATCTTCGAAAATGCGTAGCGTACATTTTTGGGGTGATATAATTTGCCATTGATTGATTGATATGTGGGGTTTAACATCCCAAAACCATCACATGATTATGAGAGACGCCGTAGTGCAGGGCTCCGGGAATTTTGACCACCTGGGGTTGTTTAACGTGCACCCAAATATGAGCACACGTGCCAACAGCATTTGCGCCTCCATCGGAAATTCAGCCGCCGCAGCTGGGATTCCATCCCGCGACCTGCGGGTCAGCAGCCGAGTACCTTAGCCACTATACCACTGTGGCGGGGCGATATAATATGCCAGTCCTTTTCACAGAGCTATAGCTACGTGAGAGCTAAGAGCTGAAACATTAAAAGAGATACGCGTGAATGCACACACGGGTGCAGCGTAAGGCCACAAACACGATTACACAGTGCTCCAGATGAAAATCAGAACAAAACATCAAACAAGAAAACAGAAGCATTGCAGAGGTATGCTCTTGAATGAATGACGTCAGAAGCGTCAAGGTAATCCCGAAACTTCCCAAACCGTTAGTGAAATAACATATTTGCCCATGCGTAGGGGTGATAAGCTTTAACTAAATGAGAGACACTCACTTTCGTTACTAATCCAATTTGACAAATCTATTGAATTAGTTTTTCAAGGTGTCATGTATCTGTTGTGATGCATCCATTGGGCGAAACTATAGAAGATTTTTTAAAGCTTAGCTAAATACGCCAAGTTTTTCGGCTTGAGATCAGCGTGTCTGGTACGAAAGAAAATACACACCTCAGCTAACCCCGAAATGAAACATGTGATATCGTGGAACACTATGCACATATAAATATATTAAAGTGTTTCCAAGCAGCGAATGAAAAAAAAAACGCCACGTCCATAATTACGAATGCATGTTGCAATGAAAAAAATTTAATCTTGAACCATAAACACAGACTTGAAGACCACCCTCTAGATGTATTTACTGGAAGATTACAAGCCGATTATAGAGCAACAGTAGTTAGCAAACTTGGCCCACACGCTTCGTCGTAAAATTGAGAAAAATGATGAAAGGTATTAGATGTTTGGCCGTTACTGCTGTGATTTTAAAGGTCGCAACAGAATAGCTCAAGAACCTCGAGAGGCTTTATTTTGAATTGTTACACATGTATTCCTCGAGAATGGCAACACCTAAATGGAAACACGGTGATGAGTGTGAGGGCAAAAGGATGATTCGACTGCTGCGCATCTTTGTGTGTCATTCTCATGAGGTCAGCATCATCCCCTAAACATGAGGCATCTGACTAATTTGATTAATAATAACTGATGGGGTTTAACGCCCCACAGCCGCTGTGGTAGCTCAGTCGTTAAAGCATAGAACGCGTTATTCTAAGGTCGTAGGTTCGATTCCTGCTCACGGCTGGTTATTTTTGCCCCGCCACGGTGGTCTAGTGGCTAAGGTACTCGGCTGCTGACCCGCAGGTCGCGGGATCAAATCCCGGCTGTGGCGGCTGCATTACCGATGGAGGCGGAAATGTTGTAGGCCCGTGTACTCAGATTTGGGTGCACGTTAAAGAACCCCAGGTGGTCGAAATTTCCGGAGCCCTCCACTACGGCGTCTTTTATAATCATATAGTGGTTTTGGGACGTTAAACCCCACAAATCAATCAATCAATCAATTAACGCCCCACACTTTCATATGATTATGAGGAACGCCGTAGTGGCGACTATAAAAATTTCGACCACCTGGGGTTCTTTAACATCCCCCTAAATCTAAGCACACGGGCCTCGAGTATTTTCGCCTCCATCGAAAATGTTGCCGCCGTGTCCGGGATTCGATCCCGCGATCTGCGGGTCAGCACTCGACCACGATAAACACTATACCACCACCCTCGGACGATTAATTATTATATTAGGCAGCTACAAAAGTTATTTGGGTGTGATTTGAATACCAACATACGTTTCAATGTGTAGAGAGAGAGAGAGAGAGAGTGAGCAAAGAAAGATGCAAGGAAACCTTAGCCACTAGACCACCACGGCGGGGCAAAGACGCAAGGAAAGACAGTGAGGTTAACCAGACGCACATCCGGTTTGCTACCCTGTAGTGGGGAAGGGATTCAGTTGAAAAATAAATAGAAGAGAGTGAAGAAAGATACGCATAAGCACAAGCACACGCAGTCTACAGGCGGTCGCTCAGATTTGTTGTGTAAGTTATATTATAGTGGTTGAACGCGAGAAGCCCATTACTTCTGCAAATACCTTTCTATAATGATTGTTAGAATCTCATGATCGTAGCAAAATAGGGTGCTGTGACACCTACAAAATAAATGTGATGTGGCCTTAGCAGTTAGCAGTGTACATCTGTATTTGCAGTTAGCCCAGTTAGAGCTCGAACGACTTTTGTGAAAGTGCTGTTCTCAAGATAGTAACTTTTTTTACAGTAGTGGCTGCTCTGCCAGCTTTGTAATCATTGTCACTAAATTTTGTAATGAGAACAAAAGCAGTAGAGACTATAATTTTCTCTTTATCCAATCTAAAAAAAACACGTACGACACAGATTTTTGTGAGCTCAAATACTTACACAAATAAGCGTAATATATGCAAAAGAATATCTTCTTGCCAAAGCGGACATACGACATCCAATATTGACATTATATTGGTCACACGTGATCCTGCCACTGAATAAGCGAAGTATCACCAACATCAGGAAATCTTGTTTAAACAGATTACGGCATGAAAAGTCCTTCACAACCGGCTTATAATCAACACCTATACGCGCAATCTTCATTACCGGTACTATGTCTGGCCAGCTCCGATAAGCAGTGTTGATTATTTGACGTATCCGCATGCCAATTACCTGATATCACATGCATACATGTGGTATCAGTCAATGCACGTGTTTGGAAAGTTGGAATATCAAAGTGCTGCGATAGGCTCAAATTGCTGGTTCCTCTACCCTCTCGGACGTGCTTGGGTGAAACTGAGATAGGCACTTGATCACGCGCACGTGCGCACTCGCCGATTCATTGTTTGTCCTGATGAAATATTTTAGCCACAGTCAGCGAAAGTTGGAGGACGAATTCAGCAAAAATTGATGTCGAAGTGAACGTACCAGTAAATTTAAAAAATAACGAACATAAGGTGCACGAAATCGACCAATCAGAGGTTATATCAATAATAAAAACTCAAAGGTTCCTTTGTTTATCCGCGTAAGACGAAACACTCAGCGAAAGTTGAGTTATTTTTCTTTTCGTTCTATGTAATGATCGCCCCTTCACCCCTCCGAAATATTTCTACTGAAACGGGTTGTTGAACAAGCAGGAGTAATGCGATTTTACATTGCGTCCAGATCGGAAGCCTTCAAAACATCTCACCTGTGTTTGCCGTGACGCCGGGATCCGGCTCACCTTTGACAAAACCACGATGCCATGTGATGACCTCATATGACATCACGTTATGCGACGGCACGATGACGTCATGCAGGGACGTTATCACGTTACTATATTTCGCGTCACTCTTGTGATGCCGCCGACGACGCCGACGGTCAATTTTCGCATTCGATTAGGCATCTATGATTTACGTCTTAAGCCCGAACCACACGTGTGGTTCGGGCATGTGGTACTGTGGTACGTGTGGTTAGGGCTTAAGGCGAAAACATTAGATGCCTCATCAAATGCGAAAATGGCGGTTTCCGTCAACACACCACGCGCGCAAGCGCGCGCCGGCGCGCGCTGACCCCAAGCAGTCGGGAATAGGCGGTTGGCGCACTTACAAAGCCGTTTGTGAGCTAAGTGTTTTGACCACTATCCGTAAGTCCAGGTGGTGCTAAAGTTCCTGATATATTTAGAAAAGTACCGCCATTCTTTTAACCGAGCCGCCGCGCCCCGCATACTCCTCTCCCGCCTCTCAAGCCGCGACGAGCATTACGCGTGTTATCAGCGTGGCATAGCATTCTTGATAGAAAAGTGGCACGAGCCGGGTTATAGGGCCGGCGCCCGCACGGTGGCTGTTCGGGAGAGGATATAGATTCGGTTTCCACACTTGGGAGAGGAGGGGTGGACACTTTGGAGTGTAAAATATGCGCAAAATATAAAAGAAAAGGTAATATAAATTGGTTCCTATATACAGCCGGCTAGGGCGACGTCTGAGTACAGCCACGACGTCGTTTCGTATCTGCAGGGCTCTGAGCGCGGCTAGACGCGCCCCGTCTCAAGGCCGAAATCAGATCGCCGCAGACACTCGCGTATGCAGAGCGTTCAAACGCGCTTACGTCATCTGCGCATGCGCCGTCCTCAGAGCGCGTACCGCGCGCACTCTGGCAGCGTGCACAGAGCGTACGTGTGCTTCGGGCTTTAATTGTTAAGGTTTAACGTCCATAAACTACGATACAATTATGAGGG